AAATAAGATAAATATGTTGTATATGTTCAAAACTGATGTTTAAATGAAACCTTCACAAAATTAAATGTTTTAAATTCAATGATTTAATGTTTATGTAAAACACTCTTGGCCCAATTTTTGTTCAGTTTAGCAACATCATGGCAACATCAAACTTTTGCTTAACCTAAGTAATGAGTAGTAATTTAATTAAAGGTATGTGTCTGGTAGAAATCACTAATGGAAGCACTGCTTATCCATTAGGCATCCAGATTAAGCTTTAAAACGTGTCACAAAGGAGGTGATCACTTTCATTCAAAAAGAAGTTATTTTGCCACATACTTATTCAAAGAGACCGCGGCTTTTGGAGTACAGAGCAGTGATCCTCAACTGTAACTCCCCCTTCACACCTTAGTGCATGCTTTCACTCTCTTACAGTGTGTATTCAAGTGTAGACCTCGTCAGACAGGAAAGGGAAAACTGCAGCAGAAAAATGCACATAGCACTCGACAGAAAATGGCTCCATCAGTATGTTAAATTAGGAATTGACAGCAATTTGTCCTAATTTTAAAATGTCTGCACTAGTAACTGAATAACAGGTGATATCCTCTCCGTTTCAGACAGACAGTAGTATCTAAGTTCCTCTTAAATGTCAAAAAGCTATTCTCAGTAATAACCGGTGAGAGGTTGACGAATATTCCTCTGGCAAGCATCTGTGGTACTGTGTGTGTGTGTGTGTGTGTGTGTGTGTGAGCGTGGTCAATTTAAGCAAGCATCTCTCAGCAAAAACACAAGACAATAGTGTCAGTATTTTGAATATGAATTTGATGAAAGAGAAGAGGAAAAAGCTCTTATCACATCTTACAGCTGGCTCTAGTGGGTGTAGTTAGAGACAGCATGACCAGAAACAAACATATCTTGCAGTGACAAGGGCTTTTTGCTGTGACGCAAAACTCTGAACTGTCAGGATGAAGAAAGTGGGTTCTCTTCTCCAATCTTTCACCTCGAAAGTTGTTCCCAAAAGCTGCAGTGATGGACATTCTTCTGTGCCCAGTTAAGAAATGGAGCTCTGACCCATTTGCTTCCACACGGGGTATTAAAGTAGGACATTAAACTGTCTTCTGAGTATTACACTGAAATCTGGTATGTGTAAAATTAGAACGAGGACCTAATCAGCAACCAACTAGTACCGAATTTCAGGAACCCAACTTCTTTGCATGTGCTGCATCATTCTGAGGTTGTGGTAAAGCCATAGGATAAAAATGCTGAAACCAAATCTGGCACCACGACTGACCATGTCAACAGATTTGTCTGAATTATTTGGTATGGTCTTGGAGAACAGTAAATCAATTTTCATGTAAACACAAATATAATTACAACACGCTATAATTCACCAGGACACCATTCACACTAAGTACAATTGTCACTCTCATTTTATTATCCTTCTCAGTAAGCACGATTGTGTGTGAATGTAACAACTCATATTAATGAGTCCTGTTGGAAACAGGTAGCAAAAAGCATTGTTGACTCTAGCTCCTTTGCAAATGAGCTTCATTGTGTGTTTTGGATGAGAACATGAGTAGAGAACTGGCATTTGACGCACAGTCATTAACAATGCAGTGCTGCCAACATTTTTATTTTCTCTTCAACACGGGCAGACACAGTCACACACCGATGACTGCACCTCAAAAGGACCCCTCTGGTAAACTCCTGACGTTCACAGATGACCAACTGGTCATCGGTCTCATCAACGATGGCGATGAGTCGGCCTACAGACAGGAGGTTGAACAGCTGGTGAAAGGTTGTGGTGCGGTCGCAACAACCTAGAGCTGAATATGCTCAAAACGGCGGAGATGACAGTGGACTTCAGAAGATCCCCACCCCCACATCACCATACTCAGCAGCACTGTATCAGCAGCGGAGTCCTTCAAGTTCCTGGGCTCCACTGTTTCCCAGGCCCTGAAGTGGACATCCAACATCAGCATCATCACCAAAAAGCCACAGCAGAGGATGTACTTCCTGCACCAGCTCAGTAAGTTCAGTTAGCTCAGTAAGCTCTGGACAGTCACTGCACAGCAAAATAACCAGACAACAACAGTTTCTTCCCCCGGGCCATCACACTGATGAACAGTTAACCCATGACTGTATGAGAGGACACAGCAATCACCCCAGTGCGATAAACTGTAAATATAACCATTGTATACATCAGGATGAAAGCTCTTATGCTGTAATGTAAATATACTGTATGTATATACATATATTTGATTACACATATTTGAATGTACACATTTAGTTTTTTTTATTCTTATTTTCACAATTATCTTCTATTTCCTGTTGCCACACAAACACATTAAGAGTCAAATTCCTTGTATGTTCAAACATACTTGGCCATTAAAAATGATTATGATTCTGACTAATCTTTTGAATATTATAAGGAAATGAAAGACCTGAACATTGATAGCCTTTATCAGGAATATTTTTAGGAGCTGAACCCAAGAAAACAACCAACAATGCCAAAGCAAGCAAAAATACAATGAAGAGTATTCAGACACCTTCAGCATGTGCACACCTAATAGTGTGAACAATTGTAAGTGGATAAAAGGGCCATTTTGCCCATTAGCCTAAATGGTCGCAAATTTGTTAAAAATCTAATCTCTCATTCACACTATTCAGACTCCTAATGCTGTACTTTGTAAAAGCCCCGCTGGCTTTGCACACCTGAATTTCAGCAGTTTATCCCATTCTTCCCAGCAAATCCTCTCAAGCACCATCAGATTGGATGGGAAACGTCTGTGAACTGCCATCTTCAGGTCTCTGCACAGATGTTCTATAGGCTTTAAGTCTGAGCTTTGGCTGGGCCACTCAAGGACAGTCAACTTGTCCTGAAGCGGCTCCAGTGTTATCTTGGCTGTATGTCACCGATGTGCTGAAAGGTGCGCCCCAGCCCCTTACCTCACTTCTGATCTGTCTCCCTGTCCCTCCTGCAGAGCAGCACCCCAGAGCATAATGTTGCTACCAACATGCTTTACCGCAGGAGTGGTATTAGCCAGGTGATGAGCAGTACCTGGTGCTCACCAGATGTAGTGCTTGGAGCTCTGCCCAAAGACTTCAGTTTCTATGTCATCAGCCTAGAAAATCTATTTTCTCATGCTCTCAGAGCCTCCTAAATACCATTTGGCAAGCACTGAGAGGGCTGTCAGTGTCTTCCGCCTAGCAATTCTACCACAAAGCCCTGATTAATGGAGTGCTCCTGAGATGTTCATCTTTTCAGCAGGTTATCCCCTCTCTGCAGAAGACTACTGAACCTCTGTTCTAGGTCACCTCAGTAAGCAAAGCCCTTCTTGCTCAGTTTCTCAGGTGGCCACACTGACAACTCTAGGAAAAGTCGTGCTGGTCCCAAAGTTTTTCCCTCTCGTGATTATTTAGGGCACCATACTCCTGAGAACAGTCAAAGATTTAGAAATTGTTAAGCCTTTGCACTCATCTATGCATCACCACAATGTTATGGCAGGGGTCTGCAGAGAGTTCAGTGTGAGCAGTAGGACTTTTATATACACAGGTGTGTCCCTTTCTAAACTATGTCCAATCAAATCAATTTGTCACAGCTGGACTCTAATCAAGTCACATGGTAATTAGAGCAAACAGAATGCACCTGACCGAAATTTGGAGTGCCACACTGAAGGGTCTGAAAATGTTTGTAAAGGAGAGATTTCAGTTTTTGTTTTTAATACATTTCTATGTTTTAACTTATAATTACACTGTGTAAACTGATTGGCAAAAGTGGCAAATTTAATCATTTAAAATAAAATCTATAATAATAAAATGTGCAAAAAGTGAAGGGTCTCAATACTTTATGAAGCCACTATATCCAGCCAAAATTTGATAGGGCACACCCCAACCAAATGTCAAAAGGCCCACATTTTAACTGCAGCTCAGGTAGAATATATGTAAATATAATCCATATAGAGCCTACTGCATGTGCAACAACTGGAACACACACCCCATGGACTCAAGATGAGAGAACACTGTGCTGCATTTCAAAATTGCCAACAGCTTAACTGAAACGACCATATAAATTCCAAATCAGTCTGTCTGCTCGGTGTAGATTGCTGTTGTCATCCTAACCACATATGTTTTTAACATTAGGGTACAGCTTTATAAAATGTCATGCTGATACGGCTTCAATTCCTAAATTAAAGTAGAGGTTAGATAATTATGCCATGGGAACAAAAATACACTGCAAGTATATTCAAATGAGCAAGGCTCTAATTTGTGCATGTGCCCACTCACAGGCACAGAATCTGGTTGGTGAAAAACTATTTGCATGCAGCCAGCATCTCCAGTGGTTCTTAGGCAATAGGCAATTAGAGGAGCTACCGCTGCTGTTATCTGCTGCTGAATCTGAAGGCACATTTCAGTAATATTAACCTGGGAGGCAAGCGCACTTTAGCCTCCGGGACAACAAAGAACAGTAAATATCCTGCAAGCAAAATACTTCAAGTACTGTTTCAACCTCCTTTTAAATAGCAAAAGACCTTTCAACTTACACTGAACTGCTTGAAATCTTAAATAAAACATAAAGATCTCAAACCATAAGCAGATGACAGCTGGTTGTCCAGCCACCTAATGTGAATTTACAAGTGCTGTTTGAAGAGTAATCACAGCAAAGGCCTAAAAGGAACTGAAAAAAATATTAGCTGATTATTCAACCCATGCAGGATGTTTTTCCATAACTGGTTTCCTGGTAAAGTTGTCAGGGTAATTAACACTGTGCTTCAGAGAGGTGTTACATTTGAACATTTATTTATAATTGGAACTTGCCAAAATTGGAGAAAAAAAAAATATTAAAAAGGGGAGACTTTGGTGAAGTATTAAATTTCACTGAATTAACATTTTAACTAATAAAGAAGAGCACTCTGTAGAGACATGATGATAAAACCTAAAGGGCGGAAGGCCAGATAAACTTCATAAGGCAGTGGTGGATTACTGTTTTAACCTTGAACAGCATATCATGGACATCATACCTGTGATGGTGCAGTCATAGAACAAGCTTCTCTTAAGCCCTGGGCCACTTCATTCTGGCAAAGATGATGCTGCAGTAGTCTGACTTCATCTTGTAGTCTGCAAAACACACCAGCACATAAAACCTGAATACATCTCTACCTTCACGGTTCTCAGCCAGCTTTACATCTGTGTAACTACAGCAGTCACCATAAAGCCCATGTTGACATGGCACACTTCTGGTTGTGATGCTAAAGTGCTTCCACACCGACAGCAAATTCTGGCCCACTGGCAAAAGTTCTTCGCTCATTTTAGCAAGAGCACTGCTTTGGCTCAGCAAGGCATCCTGTGGCAGAGGGACTCAGCAAAACAGTTGGCTATGGCTGTCCCACAGCACACTATTTGGCCTCACAGCTACACACCGTCTTAGCCAATCATATTCTTATTAGAACACATATCAGGTAGATTACCTTGTAGTGTGGGGCTTACAGCATTGCACAAATTTGCTGCCTACCTAGCCAGCATATTGGTGCTGTACAATCTCCTAGTGCATACAATGCCAGAGATGTACAATCTCTGAAGAGTACAAGGACATAAATTGCTGTCTTTGCATTTTAAGCCATCAGCCTGGGCTTGTTCATTTGAATTTCCTCTTCTTTCTCTGCATCGTGTGGGGGAAAATGCCCACACTACTTGCACAGTTTTTCCATGGTGCTATTGTCGGTGTGAAGGCAACTAATGCAACACTGAGCACTGAAATGATGAGCAGACAATGTTGCTGTAATCCCAAAACATTTTAATAAGGAAGGAAAACTCAAAGACAGCTTAACACATCAGACTATGTAGAACTGTTTTGAGATAAGCAAAATAAGAATTATACACAAAACATTTCTATCCTGGCTGCTTACTAATTAGATCCAAAGAATACATTCACACACACACACCGTAGCACTACAAGGCACTAAAATATGTACAGCTAGTTACTGCAGCATGAAAGCAGGAGAACAACAGCATAACGAACAGTCCGTGGGCCCAGAATAAGGGAGATCCTTTCAGGGGATTAAAATTAGCGGAGCATAGTTTTAATCTTTTTTGGTGCTCTATCACAGTGGTTACATCTCCAAAGAGTGAAGACTTGAGTTGACATGCTTTGTATAATCCCATAAATATAAAAGATGCTTCTTCAGATGTGGATCAAATTCCTGTAGACTGTTAAGAACCAATGTTGTATTGATAAAGGACCTTAATACAAAATTAAGGGGATGAATACTGTAGGTGTGATTGTTTCGCTGACAAAAACCAGACTTGTGCGTCATTCTAACTCTCATCCACATTAACAGAAGGAACTTCCATTTTGTTTCATTTAGCTTAACATGTTAGCAAATTTCTTGTTTTGCTTTAATACATCAACTCTGGCAAAATTGCTAGGAATACTTTGAATACTTAGCTGAACAATTTTTCACACTGATCAAAGAAATGCCCTCCCATAAAACTGTCAGAACTTTTGTCAAACATGCAGTAGCACTCCCCCACACATGTAAACGTATCATTTCTGTATATGGACTGACAACTTCATCCAGGTTTGACACCTTTTTTGTTTCTCATTTTACATAAATGTGTGGCATTAAGTGGCTATTAGCTATGTTAGACGCTGACATCCCCATTCCTAATCCCATCTACTTTGCAGTGATCAGCCAACCAGCTGAAACACCAATCAATGGGCAAAATAACTGACTGCAAAATTCACCTTGTGATTTAAAATTTTAAAAAATTTAAAAGTTCAGAATATTCTCATGATCAACACGATGCCTAATTTTATACACTTCTTTTTAAAATTGGTCCACACATAGAACACTAACATTATCTGAGCCATTCCACTGACCATATCATCACTCTGCCTCTAGCTACAACTCCTACTATACCCATGCTCACCCTCTACAACATCCGGCTCACACTAGCAAAGAAACCATTAACAGTAATGAGAATCGATGGGGGTGTTAGAAGTATTGGCAGTCCAGCCCAGGAGCTGCTTTCTGTGCCATCTTTATTAGTCTGGAAAAAGAGTGCTGGGTCTCTAGCCTGCCAGCTCTAAATAGGAGTGCATTGATCAGAAGGTCAAGCCAGGCTGAGTCCAGCCCTTTAATTGTCTGCATCATTCTCTCTTCTCATCTGTTTTCTCATTCCAGCAGCTGTCAGTCATCCTCCCAGGTACACCAAGGCCACCATCACATCATAATACGTGGCAGTTCGCATGCACACAGAAGACTGACTGTACCCTGTAAGCTGATGAAGAAGACATGATAACCATGGACTTAAAATAACCAATCTTAAGCCCTTTTTACACAGAGATTGGCACAAAGTGCTGGTATTTTACTTCTCCTTCAAGGTGGCTTTTTTGATTTACACCCTTAAAAAGCCAGCAAATTGCCGCTACTGTGTCCATTTTACACAGCTGCCAGAATCTCAGTACTAGAGGTATGATGCTAATCGTGACATCACAACCAATTTTAAATTTTTTTTTTTTTTTTTTGCATTTATACATGGAAATTGGGAATTACAGTAGCCAGCTACATGCATGCAGGGCTGTGTGTCTGTTTGAGGGCAGGGCTGCACACACACACACAAGGTGCACAGCAAAACTGACAGAAGCACGCTTTTTGGCTGTTCACACAAATCCTTCACACAGGGTTGTGCAAACATGTGGCTGTGTTTATTCCTGCTTTAGAATGTAATTGCAGTGAAACAATCACAAAATAACCTTTTAATTCTCTGATCCAGTCTTTTCTCACTGACACTGCGCTCTCACCTCATTCACGCTCTCGCTCCCTCTCCTTCACAGGGACCTCCAACCGCCCCATTCAGCCTCGTCCCGTTTCTACAGGAGATGGGGTGAACTCATCAAAAGTACCGCCTCTTGTTGCAGCATCAACATCGACCCCCCCATGCCAGGACTGTACCTTTTATACAGAACGGCAAGGCGGAAAACTCCTGCGACGAATGAGCAGCGTAAAAGCGGCTTTATACTGTTTATAAGGACAGTTGGGAAAATGGTGTTTCTGCAAACAGTTACCACTGAGATCCAACAGCACCAACCACCATGTACAGCATGCTGGGAAAGCAGATGAACTCCCTCCTCCCTATAGAACCTCATGAATTACCTTTCATTTTTATTCACTAGGCAAATAAAAATTCGTGAGAGAAGTAAAACTTTCACTGTGTTACCTGCCCTGAAAAAGGACCAAAATTCCTATTTGGTTCAGTCTATATTTCTCGGATTTCAGCACTTGCTCTGGGGGAGGAAAACAAGTCAAATCCTTCCGCACATTAATCCAGGTGTCTGGCTGCCACACGGCTCTGACAGAATTGTATCCTGGCTTTAGAGCTGGAGTCACTTGAGATGTATTGGCAGCTAATCAACCGGCATCTTCCATCAAAAACTCACAATGACAGGGCCAAGCCTATTTTTACAAAGTCTACCAGGCTAAGGGCATGTTTCAATTTTACAGTCTTTATAAACTTTAGTGTTTTGAGAGCAATCACATAAACACATCCGGTGTAAAATATGTCTGGCTGCCAGCCTGCTGCTGATTTTTACTGGATGTATGAGGGGTAACTAAATAGTTTGGTAATATGTTACTTTCCAGAAAGTCTACAAATAAAAGCAGGCTCAGATAAAACCAGAAAAGGAAAACAGACAGAAGCCAACTTAGAAAATTCAGGAATCATGGGATATGGGTTTGGAAATCCACCAAAACATCTAATTATCGCTCCCAATAGCCTGAAATATGTAGATGTCATTCCTACAGGACATGGTAGCCAAGGGTAAAGAATCTAATGATGCTGCAAACATTTTTTGCTATAATCAAGTCCTCACAGCTCAGAACTACCACTGAAGATTTAGTCCAATCACTAAAATTATATCCCATCATCAGCACTGACTGATTAAAAGTGTGGCTTTCATCTTCATGAAAAATATGGCATTTATGCAAGCAACTGTCCTGCCCAAAACACTTCAAGCACTGAGGTCATCCTCTGACAACCAGGTAATCAGTGCAAAACGAAAATGCTGTTGTTCAGCTCATGAGTTTCAGAGGTCGTACATGTTTGAAATCTGAGCAATACTTCCTGCACTGGATTAACATGAAAGTACATCCAACCCTCTAGTTGTCAATGTCACTGCAGCTTCCAGACTTACTGGGCTATGAAATTATTCTTCACACATTTCAGAGACTTCACATATGATCAGTGCCCACTGGCATCAGATTTACCCTAAAACTGAAAGTCACACAGCTCAAATGACTGACCACAGGAAAAATATTGTAGTAAGGTGGTTACACCCAATTCCACAGTAATGCAGTCTGCCTGATTAAAAAAGGCTATGTATAACCGGTCAGCATTTAGGACTAAATGGAACCTGTTATCAAGCAATTTTCATTCACCTTCTGTGTTACATACAGTACATAGGCCTACAGCATGTCCCATGTGACACTTATGAGCGAGTCCCCTGCTCCATTTTTTAAGCCTCCGCTCCCATACTGTCATTTAAACAAGTTTCTTCTTATACTGGAGTGAATGTGACGCTTAAGCTCTTGAAATATTCATTCTAAATAAACATTTGAGTGAAGCAGAACACGGGGTAACACAGTGACGTCTACTAGGGACGTGACTATAACCAAGTTAGTGTCAACTAAATGTCTCCATTTGCACATTAACCTTCTCCACGTTTCTCCCCTGATGTGCACATAAAGTTGTAAATAAGACATATCCTGACAGTGAATACACCTGAATGATGTTGGAGTGATTCTGTCACAGAAAAACATTCAGCTCACACCTTTCACTGGCATACAAAGGGATAAAAATATCCCGCTTCTTAAGGAGTCCTTTAAAATCAGTTCTGTTATTTTAACAATGAGAACTGCCAATGAATTTGAGAATGACTTCTCTGAAAAGGTTCTGAAGATGTCTGATCAACTTAGTGCCAAAAAATAAAACCCCTCATTTTTCATGTGAGCAGCACGTTGCAGGTGTATAATCCTTTTAAACCATTTCTGTTGACATTTGAACTTTCCAAACGTTACTGCGCCAGCAGCTACAAACGAATATTTCTCATTCCAAGGATA